ATTCTACAGGAAGTTCAAAATGTCAATTTCATTTTGTTTTCGCTATGCAAATTCATGCCAAATTTACATTCTTTTATATTATGCTTCTTAAAGAGGAATTTAAATGGATGGACATCATTGTAAGCAGGCTAAAGCTTTGCTAAAATATCAGCGGTTGGGTATTGGCCACAAACCTCTAATTGTTCATCTCTACAAGCTAATGGGCCGCACGAGGCAGAGAAGACACTGGAGTGGTTTGTGAGCACGGACATGCATGACTGCACCCAAAGTGTTTCAATAAAAGCATCATTACGTGATAATTTATACGTCTACCAACACCGAGGTTAGCATCTTGCGAGGTTCAGAATTTAACCTAATAGATAAGCAATGTTTTCTTTTTCAAAAACAAACAAACAAAAAAAATTTAAAGCCTTGAATTGTGTTGCTGAAGCAGCAAACCGGGGCAGAGATGAGCTGAGAAGGTCTGACATTGTGTGGATCACTTTGCCTCAAGGTCTCCAGAAAATAGGTCAACAGTGGAGCCACTCTGTCTTTAAATGTCTCCCCTTATCTAACCTACTTCAGCCTGTGCTTAAGAGGATGAATGCATCCCCCTCGCAGAAGATTATTGATTGGAGTGAGCTGAGATTGGTTGTAGTTTTATCTGAGGAAAACGTGACGAACTGAACCGCCTCTTGTTAAAGTGCAGACATTAATGTCTGCTGACGTGGCGCTGGGTGCCAACGTTGTGAACGTTTTCGGTTCAAGCTATTTTTTAGGTGCCAAGACTGACTAAAACGTCGGCTTTCATCTGTTGTGTAAATGCCGCCAACATATCGCTTCTACAAAAAAAAAAATCTATTCACAGAATCTCAGTTTAGAAAGTTCAGTCTATCTCTGTAAGATATTTAAGATCTATGTGAAAAATGGTTGCACTTTCATTTTCTGTTTCCTCTTTTGACAGACGCGGTCATTAGGGAATCAGGCTGTGCCATTGTGCAACTGCCTACCGAAACCTGACTGCTCTTGCAAAGTGTGGTATAACCACACACAGAAGCCTAAGCACATCACACACACACACACACACACACACACACACGCACAAACCACAGCTCACATCCTCTTGAGCTGAAGCTATTTGGAGATGTTGTGGGTAGTGTAAGTAACTGACAGCTTGATTATGAAGCTGCTTAAACTAAAAAAAAAGAGAAGGGAGTAATTCTTCATGGACAGGGTACGTAGTCAAACGCTGAAGCCTGTTAGCCAGATTCACTCAGGGAGCTGCAGAGTAATAAAATAGTTCCTCTCAGCAGCAGCAGCAGCACTGTTTTCTGTAAGGTCTAGTACCTGATGTGGAGGTGGGGGAGGATACTCCTTGTATAAATCGTTCAATAAATCCTCCATGTCAGCAAAGTTCAGGTCGTGATCATCTTCCAAATTCAGCCTGACCAAAGGAGTCTCTGGCTCGGGAGTGGGCATGTGGTTGTCTCTCTCTCCATAAGGCATCCCAAGAAGAGGATCTGGGAATCGCAGCCGAGCCCCTCCGTTCCTGGAGCTCCTCCGGATGAGGATGGGTAGTTTGCTTCCCTTGGTGTGCTGGACTGGGCGATGGGTTGCGTAGCTTTGCAGCAGACAGAATGTCAGAGAAAGACTGGGTCCAGGTGAGGACAGCGTCGCTCCCATGTGCTCCTCAGACAGAGAGTCAGAAATGTGGTCATCTACTGCTGCTTCCCCAGAGGAGATCAGTGATCCGTCTCTCAGCGATCCAGGCTGAGCGTTGTCTTCGGTCATCTCCAAGGATGCAACTGAGGGGCTGGAACTGCCTCGTCCAGCCAGTGTGCGATCACTGTCTGAAGTCCGGGAAACGTCCTGAGACCCAGGGACCAGGGTTCGAGATGATGGGGCCTCCTCTGAATCGTCCAAGTTCTTCCTCTCCACGTCTCCATCCCCTCCAGTCACACTCCCACCAATGACACTGGCTGAGTATCTGGTTGATGGCCCACAAGAGGTGCTTCTTGCCAGCTTTCTGGGCACTTTGCAGACCGCTTCATAGTCAGAGTCCGCCACCCGCCAGTAGGAACATCCTCGACACCTCCTGGGAGTGCTGGGTCGACAGTGGTGCGAGCCTGTACCTGTGGCCTCTGACCCTGGACCAGCAGAGCAGGTAGGGTGGTGGTGATGGTGGCAGTCCAGCCCATCGTCAGCCCAGGACTCATACAAAGAGTAGACCAAATCCTCCTGGAGCAGGGCACAGTACTTTGCATGGGTTAGACCCGAGATGTCCACCATCCCATCTCCGGACTCTTCATTAGTGCCGGTGAACGTCACAGCGCCGTCCTCCGGATTAGTCCTCCGGTATAAACCGCCAATGCACTGTCTCAGTCGATGCTTCTCCTGCAACAGCCGCTGCAGCCTTTCGATGGACAGGGCCTCCACTCGGGCGATGACTGTGTCGAAGCGGTACATGCGGTCCAGCATGAAGGTGCACTTGGAGCAGGCAAACTCCCCCCTGCCATCCCGGGTCAGCTCTCGACCCAGGGCATGGGACAGCAGCACATGTAGGTTAAGTTTGGAGGCTGGGTGGAAGATCCATCGCCTCTGGTTACCGCAGAGCTCCCGGCCACAGATTCTACACGTCTCCTTCATCTTGACATCAAGCATTCTCCTGGCTTTACAATATGAAGTAGTGGGTTATATCAGACAGGTTACTCAAACATATCAGAGCATGGATCAGTTTAGATCCCTTCAGGGTGACAAAAGACACGTTATATTAAGATCCGTGAGTCAACAAAAAATAAAAATAAAAGTCCTAATTTAGTCTTTTCAGACTTAAATCCAATCAGGAAAGCATAAATAATTCCTGTAGACTTTCTTTGGCTGCACATGTAAATCCAGATGGGACAGCAAAGATCGGGATAAGCGTAGATGATGTGATTCTCAGATATCCATCAGTGCAGGATCCCGCAGGATGTGCAGGTGCAACGTGAATATGGCGCACGGAGAAAGAGGGCATGTCTCTTTAATTTAACCAGACTCGGTTTCTCTCTGTGTCGACTCTCCCGGCTGTCAGTAGAGCGACGTTTTATATTTCCCAGCAGCGCCATCCTACACTCCTCTGCAGCAGCACCAGCACAGCTCCGGCAGACACGGACAGGTTCATCCTGACCGGGGAGCGGTGACGATCCGCCGGCCTCCACGCGGACGTGCCGCGGTGACACGCTGGTAAATGGGGCGATCCTCTGGCTCCTCCGTTCCTTCTCTGCGTCTCTCAAGAAGCCAGTTTGTTTTTTGGTTTTTTTGGTTTTTTCATTTCAGAGCTACGAACGACGGCTACACGTAGAAGCTCCCAGCATAGAGGCGTAAAGTGCAGGAGATCCTGCGGGGAGAAAACGCTGTGGCTTCCGAGGAAACGGACCTGCAGCGGCGGAGCGCACCATGCAGGAGGAGCGGGGGGTGGAGCAGGACCGGTGCAGCTACGCTCCGACCTTCTCTGATAAATTATCACCGCAAATGCCGCTTGGAATGAAAACTTTAACCAATAACGCACCTTGACAAATCAAATCTACATTTCTGAATTAAATAATTTTTGATGTTATTGCTTTAGAGAAAGAGTGGCGCTCCCCCGTCGGGAGTCTGTTTTTCGCTCCTGCCGTGTTGACTAATATCAGTGCGCCTGAATACACAGGTGAAATGCTCAGCAGCCTGCAATGTGGAATCAAGTGACCCGAAGAGCATGGGATACGCAATCACAGTGGTTTTTAGAGCCAAAGTGTGAATGTGGAGGATCAAAAGTGAAACAGTTTAAAAATAAACAAGTTGTCAAATAAATGTAACTGCAATACAAGCCTGAAATAAAAAATAAATACATAAATAAGATACTTGTATTACCAGCGACGTTTCAATTAAAACCTTATAATTATTTCAGCGAACTGATTGATACTTAAAGCTGGAAGGAAAAATAAATAAATTCCCCATCCAATGCAACAGCAGCAAGAGTGCCAGCTAGTGTCCAACAAGCAATGTCATTAAAAAAAATGTAAATAAATATATTCATAATCTAATAATTATTTTTTAAATCATTGCTTAAACTCAATATATATTAAAA